TGTCAGGGCTGAGGAAACGGTGCGGTAATAAAGGGTCGGCCGAGGGGATCTGCTGATGAGTTCTGTCCGCGCTGCTAGCACATGACCAAACTCTTGCAGATGCCGTTCTGATACCTGCAGGGATTCAACATTTGTTGGTGTTTTGCTGTTGCTGCCGGCTCCGCTGCCTCTGCTGCTGCTCTGCGTGACCATGAATATACAGCACGCAGCCGCGCCGCAAAGAGCGCGATCCTTGGCGCTGCGACACCCCAGAAAAACTGCTGAAGCAGCCCACAAGCAGGGGTCGCTGAGCTGCACTGCGCTGCGCGTGCTGCGCCATAACGTTCTCTCCGCCGCAACCTGCCGCAAGAAGAAGGTCTGTGGCTGCGCCGCGCCGAGGCACGCATTCAGCCGCCGCCCGCCCCGCACCTTGATCGAATCCAGGGTGCCCTCGAAATCGTGCTTTGCAACGGCGGCCGGCAGCGGCCCCGCGTTGGTCAGGTTGAAGTGCTCCAGCAGCTCTGACGCCCAGAGAGTCGCAAACACCTCTTTCAGGCGCCGGGCGGGTGCGACCAGGTTTCCCGTCTGGGCGGCTGCCCGCACGCCGGCAGCGGTGTCCGCGGGCGCGTCGGCTGCTGAGGTGTCCGCGCGTGCGCGCGGCGCCCGTGGGCCGATCATGCTTGGATAGGCTGACGCCGTGCTGGTTTTGGCGGCTCCAGAGAGGATGGAGTAGGCCGCTAGCCAGGTCAGGGCCATCGTGCAACCCCACAGCAGCGCACGGGTGCAGGCGACGCAGCGCTTGCTCCCCATGGGCTTCGCTGCCGCCGCCGCTGCACCATTGGCCGTCATTGTAGCCCCTCCGTTCTGAACTTTTATAACTGCGGATACGCTTAAACACGTCACTCTCGTCAGCTCGAGGCGGGCAGCGGGCGGCTACAGCCACCTCGGAAAACCACCGGATCAAGTGCGACCAGGATGGCCCCGCTTTGCCAGAACTCAACTCTCAAACTGAGAAAATACTGAACATAACTGGCCGCCACGAACCAATCGGTAGTTCTGACGCACCACTTCACATGGGGTGTTGGCAGTACGTGTAGCGGACAACTTTGTACAGCAAACGGATGGCACTGTGCCATGCCGAGGGTGTACATGCTGTAAATTACTTCAGACGCCGCCCAGACCCTGCTCACCTTCGATTTCGCACTTTCGTCCACCAACACCCCGCACTGCGGACGTTGCTTGGTCGCGTTGACTGCATGTGCTGCAGCACCCTGAACAACGACCCAGTGCCGTCTACACCCATAGCAAAGAGGATATGTGCAGTACAGTAAGCCGATCAACATTTAATAAGTATGGTATCTCTGCGCATCCATGCAATTGCGCGTTGACAAGTGCGCGGGACTCGCTGCATGGCGGCACTACAACACCGTGTGTCACGCATTCAGGGAGACTGCGACCCTCTCAGCTATCACACACTATTCTTTTTGATGATCGTTTTGCATGCGCTTTATCAAGCAAAGCGCCTCTCGCACAAATTCGTCAGCCAGATCGTCGTTGACGCGGGAGGGCTCGAAATGAGGGACGCATGCATGCGGCAGCGAAGTTTCAAGGATCCAATAAGCCCCGCTCCATACTCTACCGCCCGGGTCCTCGCCAAACGTGCGGCGGCACGGGCGGCGCCAGGTGCCACCACTGGCGCACGCCTGGGTGCCGACGCGGTAGCGGGCGCGGCGGCGCGTGTGCTGCAGCAGCACAGGGAGCTCATGCTTGTGGGCTTCAGCTATGACCAGGCGGCCCTCATACTTCAGATCACGGAGCGGCGGGCAGGGGGACGCGCAGCAGGTGCGCGGCGGGTCACATCTGCGCCGCGTGTCCGCGCAGCCGCAGGGGTTCCTGGCCACCTCTGGGCCGTCCTTTGCACACTCGGGGGCACCGAAAACAAACATGCGTCACCCACAGCTTACCCATACCTTTGTAACCGCTGCTGCCTGCCCCGCGGACTGCGCAACCGCCGCAGCCGCTCCAGCCACCGGCGCCTCCGAGCCCGGGGGGACCGCCGAGGACGGCGCGGGCCCCTCCACACATGGGCTTCCCCAGGGGAAGCCTGAGCAGCAGCAGCAGCAGCAGCAGCAGCAGCAGCAGCAGCAGCAGCAGCAGCAGCAGCAGCAGCAGCAGCAGCAGCAGCAGCAGCAGGATGAGCAGCGTGTGGCCGCCCTGGAGGAGCGAGTGGCCTTCCTCGAGATGGAGCTGCTGAAGCAGGCCCTCAGCACAGAGGACGCGGCTCTGATCGGCGCGGCTGATTCAGCCGCGGACCTGCTGCCGCCGCCGACGCCGCTTTGGCCGGGCGTCGGCAGCGCGTGGGACCTGGCTCCGCTGCAGCAGTCGGGGCAGTACACGAAGGAGCAGCAGCTTGCCCACGCGTGGGCGCACGGCAACGCTGACGCTCTTATGCGCAGGAGCGGCGGCAGCTCGCCTGGCCTGGGGGCGCACGCGCAGCCCCGGCAGCAGCAGCAGCTGCGGTCGCGGCCGCGGGCTTGTGCGGGGGTGGTCGCAGAAGCGGAGGACGGGGCCGAACCGTACGATGGAGCCGGCCTGGCCCTCGGGGCGACCGTTATCGCGGTGCGGGTTGATTCTGCCAGGGAAGGGGCAGAGAAGTGGCGACGGCTGCATGCACCCCTGCTGGAGTCTTGGCGCACCTGCCCTCTCCGTTATTGCCCGTCCTCACCGCTGTTGCTGCCCCGTTGGAGATTATTAAACCCAGCCTCGCAAACACCTTCCCCTCACGTTCGCTCGTCCGCGGTGCGCCCCCACCGCCGGCGTCGCGTCCAATGGCCCACCCGCGCCCGCCCCTCAGGTGTACGCGGGGGCGCTGGCGACGCTGCTGGCGCTGGTGGCCTGCAACCCAGACCCAGCGCTGGTCGGCGGGGTGGATTTGATGGCGCTCGGGATGTGATGCATCATGCACGCCCGGCTGGAGCAGGCATCTTACAGGGAACGTCGGCGGATCGACGGGCGGCTGGACTTGCACCTCACCTGGGGTCCCGCGCAGCTGCAACGTGCCGTGACTCACCATTGCATGACAGCAGGGACAGCAGTAGCCTTGCCCTGGTGCGCTTGGAATCATGCCGTTGCGCAGTTACGGTGCCATGCTGGTGAATTAGGGGATCGAATATTCAATTGTCTGACGGCCTCGTTGTAGCTGCTGCTGCATAGCTTTGGCAGATCAATTGCAAACACGCGGGCTTCCTGTAACACGGCACCTTCGATCTGCCACGTTAACCTAATATAATAGCATATGCAATAGCCATATGTGCTGCGTAGTCCAGGGAGCGATGCCGGAGGCGGGGGACGGCTAATCCGAACAATTGATTCTCCCTATGATGCGAAGATCGCTCTCAGAGGTGGGCGCATGGCAACTTAATTACTTGGTTATTCCAGTGGTGAAAGTGCTGGCCACGCGGTGGAGGCGCCGCAAACGGGGTCAACGCGTCGCCCGCGCGCTCAGCTGCTGCCGCCCCGGCGCCCCGCCCGCTCGCCCCGCCCGCAGCACACCGTCGCCTCCGAAGCCGTGGTGCTGGTGCGGCAGGGCAGCAATGTGGGATACGCGAAAACGGATAAGCAGCGGTCCAGGGGCGGCGGCAAGGGCATCGCCCAGTGGTGGGAGTCCGGTCTGGTGAGTGGGCAGCTGCCGCCCAGCTCGCGGAGCGCCCCGCATACACGCCAGCCCGCGCTTTCGCACGCGCGCCAACCCACGCCCCCGTCGACGGCCCACCGGAACTGCGGGCGGCGCCCGTCGGTAGACACAAACTCGCAATTCCCCCGCGCTGTGCCGCGCCGCCCGTTTCGCTCTCGCTGTTGTTTTGTTACCGCCCCGCAGGCGTGGTGGCTCAAGGCCCTCGTTGCGATGGCGGTGGTGGGGGTCATCTTAGTGGACGTCTTCTTATTGGAAACAGTCCTCGACCGCGTCCGCTCCCGCGGCCCCCCGGCGGGCGCCAGCGGCGCCGGCGCCGGCGGCGCGCAGCCCGACGC